AGTCAGCGGCCAAAAAAAAATCTCATCGCCTTGGAGTCAGCCAGGGTTTCACCCGCCAAAGGGTGGGAGACAGAGCAGTCACTGCTGCGCAGCCCCGGGCTGCCGGGGATGGGGGGGGCCAGCACTGATCCATGAGTGGGACACTAAACGCCATGAGTGTAGTTACTCCAGCTAGGACTAAGTGCAAAGTAGCCTTTGTCTGTCTGTCTGTCTGCTCCTCACAGCAAAACTAACGGCGTGGCTCATTTCTCTTAGGACAAGACGAGCGCTCTGAGCCTGAGCAATGTTGCCGGGGTTTTCTATATCCTTGTCGGAGGCCTCGGGCTGGCCATGATGGTGGCACTGATCGAGTTCTGCTACAAGTCTCGGGCCGAGTCCAAGCGAATGAAACTCACCAAGAACACGCAGAACTTCAAACCTGCTCCCACCACCAGCACCCAGAATTACGCTACGTACAGAGAAGGCTACAACGTGTACGGCACAGAAAGTGTGAAAATCTAGGGGTATGGCTACGGGCCGGGAACTAAAACCCTCTGGGTTTTCTTTCTTTCTTTTTTTTTTTTCTAAGCTGTGAGTGATACTTCGTTGCGTGCATCAGCAGGCTGCTGCAAAAGGGCTTTTGAAGCATCGTCTGGTGGCAGTCTCAGAGTATAAAAGTGATTTACATTTCTTCCCTGAACAGGAGTAAGCTTGGTACCATCCTGTATTACAAACAGCGATAGCTGGCTTCATGCTGAAGTGTATAACTCCTCTTGCCACCATTGTGCTAGTTCAGTACACATAAAAGTATTTTGTTAATTGCTTTAAAAATTACTGTAATCAGAATTCGCATCTCTCTTGCTGTCGACCTCTTCCCCTTTTATTTCTTAAGCTATAATCCGATCAGGTAAGTGTTTTTAGGAAGTGTCAAAAAATCTACAATAGAGCCAAAAAGGTCTACGCTAGAAATCGTGATTTCTAAAGCATGAAAAGCAGAGTTGAATTGCTGAAAAACGACTCTGGAAAAGCCTGGTTGGCCCATCGCCCACAGACCGTGCCTCTCCCCAGGCTGAGCTTCCCTGCCGCTTGCTGCTGGGCAGTGATGAAATCTTTCTGGTTTTATTATAGATCCTCGCCCTGACAGCACGCAAGAGGAGAAGCAGCAGAGAATGTGGCTACTTCACGGATTCGGACCACCTGAGCCAGTCGTACTCTCTCTGAGGTGTCAGGCATGACACGCATTGATGATGGTGCAATGTACTTTTAATAGGAAAAACTGATATTTTTTCCTTCAGTGCCTTATGGAAGACTCTGAGACTCACAACAATGCAAACCATCACTGAAATATTCTTGCTTTGCTTGAATGAAGAAAAAGTAAAAGTGAAAGAAAAGACATAAGAAAAGGAAAAAAGATAAAGAAAGAAAAGAGAAAAGAAAGATAAAAGAAAAGGGAAAAGAAAAGAAAAAAGAAAAGAAAAGAAAAGAAAAGAAAAGAAAAGAAAAGAAAAGAAAAGAAAAGAAAAGAAAAGAAAAGAAAAGAAAAGAAAAGAAAAGAAAAGAAAGAGAAAAGAGAAAAGAGAAAAGAGAAAAGAGAAAAGAGAAAAAAGAAAAAAGAAAAGAAAAGGAGAAAAAAGAAAGAAAAGAGAAAATAAAAGGAAAGAAAATAAAAGAAGAAAATAAAAGGGGAAAAAATAACAAAAGAGAAAAGAAAAAAGAAAAGAAAAGAAAAGAGAAAAGAAAAGAAAAGAAAAGAAAAGAAAAAAGAAAAGAAAAGAAAAGAAAAGAAAAGAAAAGAAAAGAAAAGAAAAGAAAAGAAAAGAAAAGAAAAGAAAAGAAAAGAAAAGAAAAGAGAAAAGAGAAAAGAAAAGAAAAAAGAAAAGAGGAAAGAAAAGAGAGAAAAGGAGGAAAAAGAAAAGGAAAAAGAAAAGGAGAAAAGGAAGAGAAAAAGAGAAAGAAAAGACAAAAGAAAAAAAGAAAAGGAAAGGACTGGTAACAAGATATTAGTATGTGAAAAAAAATTCTTGTAAAAAAATCAGTGCAACAAAAGCCATTCTTTGATACCACTGCACAGTAAATGAACTTGTGTCCTGAAAGCAAACCGCAGCCGGTTTCATTAGCCACCCCAATCGTATCAAATTATGAAACTCCTCCTGACTCAAAGCCTCAGAAATCTGCTGCGTGCGAACACGGACTGGCCTGTCACTGCTTGTATGAGCTGATGTCAAGATGTTTCAGTATTTACTTACCAGTGGTGTGATTTTTTTTTTTCTGAGCCACTTTAAACTCTCCAGCTAATTTGAGCAATTCTGTATAGCAGTAAAAGGTGTAACACCTGAAGAAAAGAATCTGTGCATTAAAACCAGTTAAGGTCAATGACTGTGAATCTGTAAATCCAAAAGGAAGTAATTTGTGGAACTGCATGTCTTGCTTCCAGGTCAGTAAATTAATTTCTCGACAAGGTAGCTAAAGTGTGGGCAGAAAATACTGCATTCCTTTTTTTTTTTTTCCCCCTATCATCAGGCATACCTACAGGTGCTTTATTAAAATGACATTGGGTGGCTTTAAAAAAAAAAAGAAAAAAAAAAGAAAAGCTACTTGCTGTTTAGGTTCAGACCATATATCTCTTTTCTTGCTGTGCATTTGCATTTTAATTCACTGTTTAATATCAAGCAATGAAGCAAGAGAAGCGCAGGTTAGCTTTTCCCAGGCCTGCTCCCGCCTCGCCCCAGTTCTCTCACAACTAGCACTGTGCTCAGCTAACGCTTCTCCTAACGGTCGTTCTAAAACAAGCAAGGAAGGAGGGTAGTAACTCAAATTAGAGCTGCAGTTCCAGGGTAATATTAAGCGATCTAACACGAGTCCTGCTAGTACTGTTATATTATATCAGCTCCTGCCAGCTCTTGTTTCATGGCTGCTGGTGAGAGGGCGCTCCGCTCCGTGCCCTCTCCATACAGAGGACACCGCGCTCCAGCCGCCACTGCTACAGGTAGGGGCTCACTATTACTCACATCCAACGTCTTAGACAGCAGCAGCATTTCAGCCTTGAACCTCTGCCTGGAAACTACTTAACTTCATCTTTAAAAAAAAAAAAAAAGAAAAAAAAAGGCAAAAGACAAAAAAAAAAAAAAACCTTTAAACATATTGTCAGTCACATGGGAAGTGTTCAATGGAATATCTGCATACTAATTACCTCTAATCGACAATATGTATTTTCTGTAGTTTACTATAGAGTTTTATTTCATCAGTAACATACAACGAAAAAGAAACTCATTTAAACCAGTCTGACCCTTAGGCGTTTAGTTTGCTGACAATAGATTTGAACTTTTAATAGGATTTAAAAAAAAATTAAAAAGAAAAAGATTATATGGGGAAAGTCTTGTTAAAAATAAGAATTTCCAACCAAATGTAATATAAAATCATTTTAAAAGCTCATAGGAGAATAATTTATTGTTCGAGTTTTTAACACAATATTGACAAAAAAATGTTGTTTTGTTTTCATATTCTTTTCATGAAACTGTGATTTATTTTTTTCTTTCAACTTCTGAACGCGATCACGTCCCCAGCAAGGACGAGCTAAAGCTGTGCGGTTATGAGTTGTATTTAAAACAAACATTTTTCTTAAAAGCTGTATAAAAGATGTATGTTTATCAGATCAATTTTTAAGAGTGGAGGCTTCACACCAGTGAAGGGAGTTTGGTAAATGGTTTGATATTTTTTAAACTTGCATGTAAAGCTAAAACAAAACGTGTTGAGTGCTTACCAATTCCGGCTACCAACTTCAAGCTATCGGAAGTTTGGCAGTAGTCTCACGATGATTTGTTTCAGTATATTTTTTTCTTTTGTTATGCTTTGGGGGATTTGGGGGTTCTTTCCTTTTTCTTTTTTTTTTGTTTTTCCTCCTTTTTTTTTTTTTTTTTTTTTTGGTAATTTAAGTTCCTATTTTTGGTCGTTGAAACTGCACTTCAGTGAGCAGAAAAATTGCCAAGCAAACTAATGGCTGTAAAAGCATAAACTGCATGTGTGGGCATCAATTACTGAGCCTCATTTTAATGAGGTGTTGTACAAAGAGTTTTAATACATTTTGTAAATAAAACTGTAAAGAAAAAAAAAAATAAAGACCCTGCTGATCCTTTCACCGGAGAAGAGAGAGTGTCCCTACCGACTGCTGTCCCTTTGGCCAAGCCTTCCTCTCTCTACTGGGGATGCCCCACAGTTTGGGGCCGAGCGGTGCCTCGGGCCCTGGAGGTGCCACCGATGCTTCACCCGTAACGCTGAACCGAGGACGCTGCTGGGAAACGTGTATTTCTGTTTCGGTACCCTGCAAACAAACTGGTTTTTTTCTTGATGAGTGATGTTGGCTGATTTGGGGTCTGAAGGGCACTCTGCAGGGAGGGGGGGAAGGGGCAGGGGGGGAATGGGCAGGGGAGAGCCCCTGGGGCTGCGGCCAGAGTGGGAGATGCTGTGCCCTGCCCCTGGAGTGGGCAGCAGCAGGGGTAAATAAATTCCTTAGATGTTGACTCTACAGATGTATTTTCCTGCCAATCCCACATTTTCAGCAATGCTTTTAAAAACCCAACTTCACCCAACATTGCAGCTCATCCCGACTCTAATTTATTGAGTTTACCTCATCCACAGTTTTGTTTTTCCAAATCACCACAAACTATGAACCATAGGAAGCAATCCTGGTATTAAGCGGCTGGTGTGTACCCAAACCAACCCCCCAGCAGGGGCAGCCCTCCAGGGGTACCCCTGGCCCAACCAGCCTGGTGGTCCCCAGCAGAAACCAGCTCCCATTGGGCTCCTTCTGGGGTCCACCATGGGTGACGCTCCCCTGTGAGCACCCAGCACCTGCTGAGGGCTGAGCTGGGGCAGCACAAGGCTTCACTCGGATGGCCGGGGATGTAAAGAGCATCTCCTGAAAAAGAAAAATCCGGCAGTGAAGGTCCTAGGCAGGGAAAAACACGGGTGGCAATCACACTGGTGCTTTCCCCAGCTCAGCACCCTGTGCCCAGCGGTGGGTC